ATCGACATGAAGAGTCTTGCGACCACGACGACATCTGTCTGTCGATAGTTGAACCGGCTCAACAATATAGTTAACCGGCGGGGACTGGTGTAGGACTCGGTAGGGGCCTTTGTACTTCGGCAGTAGCTTGGCGGAAAGACCAGGGGCAGATGAGGGAACGCGAAGCCATACCAACGTGCCAGGCGAATATGACTGGGGGGGGGGGGGGGGCAGGTTTTCACCATAACAGTCTTTCTGGTACGCTTGATCTTGTACGGTTAGGGAACGTGCGAGTTGCCTAACCGTACAAGACGGATCGACCCGGCCGCAATACGCTTGTCAAGCACAGAATTATTGATGGGGGTGACACAGGACCACGGAAATGCAATCTCCGACCGATCAGCTTGACCAAGCGAAAAGCACTTGACGCCGCCTCAGACGAACTCATTGGCACAAGCGTAGTTGAGAGGTCAAACAGCCCATGGGTTTTCTCGGTAGTTCTAGTTTGTGGGGTCTTAAAATGAGAGAGCACCAGGCTCTTGGAGTGAACGGACACAGTAGACGCGGTCGGAAAGAACCTGTAGCGCCATCATCACCATCGTCATTTTTTCCATCACCGCGCCGCGTCTCTCGCGCAGCTGGCGCGAGCTCGAGCTGCGCGAGAAAGAGAACGAGCTGACACGCCTGGCGCGACGGACGCTGGTAGCAGACGTGGCTCCGCTTCAGGCCTAGAATAAAGTGGCGAGATCGGCACGGCCCCATCGGCCGCCTTCGACGTCATCTCACGTCTCTCTTCTCTCGCCGCAACATTGGTGACCCGGACGTGATCGGCACGGCCCCATCGGCCGCCTTCAACGTCTTCTCACGTCTCTCTCCTCTCTCGCCGCTACATTGGTGACCCGGAGAACACGCCCTTCGCCGAGCGGCCCGCGGCCATGTTCCCGCAACTCTGCCCACCAGTGCCGCCGTACCAATCAACTTACCCCAAGGTATGGTTTATGCAGCTCGACGCCGTTCTTGCGATGAATGGCATCACGGACCAGCTGCTGATGCACGCCATTCTTCTCGACGCCCTACCGGTAGAGTTGCGCCATCTCGCTGCCACTTCAAGCACCAGCCCGCAGCCTTACGATGCCCTCTGCACTGCAGTGCTCGCCCGCAGCGGCAACACATACCGTCCGCTTCCGTTTACCCGCACCAGGCAGGTTTCCCCGGCGTCGCAGAGCAAGGTACGCACGCAAGCGCACACAGAGCAAGCGACGGCACGCGACACCGTGGCCCTCGCCGTTTCCGCGACCACCAGCTCAGACGTCTCGGCCTCCTCCTCGCCGCAGCTGCTGGTCAGCTCCTCGACGGTGCCCCCTGCCGCTCCGCCACCTGCCACTGGTGCCAGCAATGGCCTGCCGGGTGCCTCGCCACATTCCACTCGCACCTCCCCGGCCAGCAGCCGACCACCCTCGGCGTCCCCGCTCCCCGCCCCTGTCCCTGTCTCTGTTTCGTGGTCTACGACGGGCCCCAGCGCCGTGCCTTCGCGGAGCCAGAGCCTGCCCTCATCGTCGGCGTCGACACCGGCAACCACCAAAGCAACTGCCACCGTCGCCCCCCAGCCCGTGGCGCCGCAGCAGGCACCTACGTCGAGACCCGGCGTCGCACAGGTGGTTTCGGCTAGCCCCAGTCCTCGCACCTCTAGTGCCCCCCGGCTCATCCAGCCGAAACAGCCACAGATCCTGCCCAAGCTGTCGAGCGGCAGCGCGAACATGACGACGCCTTCGGCAGCGGCGACCACCCGGTCCCAGTCTCCCCGGGCAGCCCAGCACAAGGCCACACCGCGGCCCGCGCCTGTACCGGCGCCGCAGCCTGCGACAACGGTGCAGCGCGGAGCCGCGATGGGGCTCAACACGGGGAGTCCGCTGCTCATCGGGAACCCCGCGACAGCGCAGCCGGGTATGTTTCCGGCTGGACCTGCGCACGACACTTTCCTGCTGAACCAGTACATTCCGGGCCTGGACCACAGCCCGATTCTGATACAAGGCGCACTGGGGCAGACCCAGAGCTCTCTGGGACAGATACAGGGGGTCCAGCTGGCCCTGAGGCCACCCCATGCCACGGGCCTGACCCTGGGACCTCAGACGGGGCTCAGGCCCCATGGGGGACATCCAGGACCGCCTGGCATCCCGACGCTTGTCATTCCACAGAACCTGGGGCCAAGGCCCAACATCTTTCTGGCACTGCCACGCATTGTCACCCACCATCCTGTCATGACCTCGCGACACACGGTCCACTCTCGGCCTGTCCGACCAGGTCACCGTGAGACCCGCTTGTCGGCTACCACAGCGACCCGGCACTTCCTCCGGCGTCCTCTGCGCAACTCCCAGTGTCGCCCGCCAGAGACCGCTGCCTCCTGATGGCCCATAAACGTTGACAACCTGGACTGGCCAAAGAACACTTTATGGATTGCCGCTCATGTACATAGCATTTGTCACTCTCTTTTTTTTTCACATGCCTTCAAATCGCGCAAAGCGCTAGGGGGGGAGCCCTGTAGCGCCATCATCACCATCGTCATTTTTTCCATCACCGCGCCGCGTCTCTCGCGCAGCTGGCGCGAGCTCGAGCTGCGCGAGAAAGAGAACGAGCTGACACGCCTGGCGCGACGGACGCTGGTAGCCGACGTGGCTCCGCTTCAGGCCTAGAATAAAGTGGCGAGATCGGCACGGCCCCATCGGCCGCCTTCGACGTCATCTCACGTCTCTCTTCTCTCGCCGCAACAAACCAAACAACACACATTTATTTAAGTGCTTTTAGATCGACGATACCGTCAGTTGAATTATTACACATCAACTGTGACCAACACGCTAAAGCAACCTTAAACAATATTACACAATACTTAACAACATAACAAACACAAGGCAGCGTCACAAACGCCTGACTCACCACAAGAGCCCACAGCAGATGACCTGCGATGCCATCTACTGCGGACCGCCGCAAGAGCCAACCACTCGCTCCAACCACCACACGCCAAAGAGACCCGCTGCTCTCTCGTGTCCACCACCCAGGCTTGCCCCCAGGCATCACCGCTAGCGCTACTATCCTAACAACCATGATGATGATGATAATGATGGTGATAAACACTTGCGAGCACAATGCTACCTGCCGCTCAAAAGCTGTGACCCCTTAAATGCGGCCTATGGGCGAGACACATGCGCAACGCAGTGCAAACAACTTTACAGGAAACGCCAGCACACCTTACAAGTTTTAAAGAAAGATGATACGCATCGCCTTTGTGTAGACTACCGCACGCTTAATGAGATTACGAAGAAGGACGCATACCCTCCTCCCTCCGTTTCATCGTTATTATCCAATCTAGGCACGGCAATTGAATACGCTCAATGCTAGCTGTGGATATTTTCAGGTTGAGATGGACGAGCAGGATAAAGAGAAGTCTACTTTCACATGCCACAGAAGACTTCTCCAATTCAGGAGAAAGTCGTTTGGCTTGGTGGGAGCTCCCACTATGCATCAGTGGCTAATGGAGCGTGTTTTGGGAGACGCATAGTGACAGTACACAGTCGCATGCCTATTCAACATAGTGATTTACTCGAAAACGTTCTAGGAACTCTAGTGCCACTTGAGAGATGTTTTAGAAAGGCCGAGATCAGCAGGCATCACTCTGAACCAAGCTCAGATAGCGATGACCTGAACAACAGTATTGGGATTGACAATTGTGGGGTAGCACTGACGCCCAGGCTTCCTTTCCTTTTTGCGGCAGCCAAGCAGCGGGGACGTATTTGTCCCTTCAAGAAAGAGACAAAAGGGGACGTTCACCCCGAGGCCGGCGCACGCTATACCCCCTTTCCAGGCTCACGAATGAGTTACCCTCCCTCGGCTAGGTATTCTGTGCCCTGCTTGAAAGCATCTGCCAAGACAGCACCAATATTAATGCAAACGATTCACTATAGCAGGGGCACAGCATTCAATATACGGAAGTTACCCTGGTATACTTTTGAATTAGATTTTTAATGGTGAATTCTAATAGCTGATCTTGTGTCACTGATGAACTCTGCCCTGGAGCCCTCCTTTCTTACAAAAGGTAACCAAAGAAAATCTGCCAATGAAACACAGGCACTCCCGCTAGAACTAATAGCCCAGGGTGCTATAGTGCACATCCACTTCACAAAGCAGCCACGCTTTCTTGCTTTTTGTGCTGTTTTCAGTTCTCAATCAGTTTGTGCGAATTCACATGCAAGCTGTATTTGCAAAATGAGTTTTAAATTGTTGTTTCCTGTGTTTTGATGAAAGCCACACCGCATGTAACTGTCCTCCTCTCTTCATTTGTGAACCTGGTACGTCCCAGGTTCCCGATCATCGCCACGAAACACGATGTCTAAAGCTCATTTGTATAAGCTAGCTTCCAAGCTTTTTCATCGCTCGAGCTTTCACTGGTCGATTCAGAACTAGAGCTTATATTCAAAGACTCTAGATCTTCAAATAGAGCTTGAATCATCACTCTCCACAACAGTAAAAATGCAATTTGCACCATCGCGATGCACCATTCACTATTGTTTCCAAGCCGCAACTCGCCTTCACAACAGTGCACAGCAAGAATGGGCGCTCCCAGGCAACACGTTGCATAGGTCACGTTGTGTGCAGTGCTCTGCGCATGCTTGGGGCACTTGCAATGTCCAATCAAATCTACTGCTTTTTGCAGAGAGAGCTGCTCTGTGGAGTGAATCGAGCAGCAGAGCAGATCCAGATCTGCCTATGAAACAGACTTGCTCCGCATAGAGCAGAAAAACTACTCTCAAAAGTGCTTTATATCTGCCATTGCAATTCACTACGAGGCAATACTACAGCTGTTTTGAAATATCTAGCGTTGGCTCTACATACGAACAGTAATCTTGTGCCTACACTGTAATACCAGAAAACAAAGAGAGCAAATCATTTCATAAAATACTTAAATTAGGCAAAATGTTCAGAACAAGATAATGCGAAGAAATAGCATCGCTACATGCAGAAGGACTTACATTGGACTTGTAGGGGTCGGCTTTCTGGACTGCGTCATGGTTGCCTCCATTGTTTCATTGAAACCATTGTTTGTCATTACCCTTGCAAGCTAGAATAGATATACCCTTCAATAAGATTCTAGCATACCATTACCTAAGCTCTATGTCATAATTAAGACATGATTCCAACAAAACATGAAATGTGAAAAAAAAGCACTTTAGTCGAGAAAAGCAGAAACAATAGCTTGCAGCCGCTTAGAAATAGATCAGGTGATCAATTTTGAGGGATTTGCCATAGTGGAGGGTGTCGGATAATTTCAACCACATTTAATTTGCAATAATGAATGAGGTTGCACCCATTTTGCACACAAACATTGCACGAAAGGCCATTTTTCCATGCCATTAGCAATCAAGAATACTGTGTGTGCAAGACATGTTGAACCTACAGGGGTCCTGCCAAAACCTACTGCCATGCTAATGTTCAAAAGCAGTAATGCAAACACAAGTACCAGCTGCGAGAAAATGAGGTTAAGTTTAGGAATGTGCACATATTACAACTATCGAACATGTTTTTAATACTGCTTGCCATTCCATTCTATATAAACAGGAATTTCACTATTCGAAGCATTTGAACTTCCAGAAAATAAGTACAGTCAATGTCCGATCTTTCGGACTACCTACAGTCCGTGAAATCATCCGAAAAATTATGCAGTCTAAAAAAAAACATTTGTGTATTTTAATTCCGCTCACGTCTGAAATAGCTTCAAGGTCTCCCAGTACATTTGCCAGGCACTTTGGTGTTTGCCCAGGCTCTCGAAAGTACATTTCGTATTTGCTTCAAACCACGCTTAGCTACATGCCTACTGCCAGTTGCCAATTTGAGTCTCATGATTAGTACCGCTGATATGCATGGAATGCATGAAAACAATGACCCTGTGGTAAAATAGCTCATGCTGTTTTCCCCAAAGCAATTCATCGCTGCCATTGATAAGCTGCGCTGCATGAAGCTAATCGTTCCTATACGCAGCGACAACTTTCTATGGCAGCAAAGCCAAAGCTACGTGGGCGGAGCTTCTCCACATGTGTTACTATGCCAAGTTGTTCGTTTTCGTGCGATTTTAGTGTCGGCTTTGCAAATGCATCCAACAAGTACGTTTTCACACGAGTGCCATACCATGAATGTTACATTTATTTGAAAGAAAATCAATAAAAATGTTCATTTTTCCAAGAAAAAGAACATGAAGCTTCATTGAAACGTTCTTGTTTCAGAAAAAAAAAAGGCATGACCCAGCAAGAACTGGGTGCGATTGGAAAACCAACACAAAGGCTAAAAATGATATCCTAAATTTCAGTGCATACTTGGTCGGCATCGTTTTCCTTCTTTTAGAGATGCAACATCTTCCCCGAGACGTTCACGTTATTTTTTTAGGCAACGATGGGAAGCAGAAGTCTTGGCCCCATTGTGTCATGTGTGGGCGTTTGACGATCGTGAATCCAATTGGGTGAAATTTTTACTCAGCCAAAAACGTTTTTTTTGCATAGTTAACAAGTGAACGTGTACATGAATCTGTCTGTTGCCCAGACAAAGGTTTGCACTGGTAATTTAGCCACCTAAATCACTGTCATCGCGATGTGCAAATAAGCACTCCTTTCGTAGACGCCGACAGGTAAGGTGTTCCAGTACACAATTTTCAGCTTTACGGTATATATAAACAATATTAGCCAGCCGCAATAACGACCACATATGCAACGCGCTTTAGAAAAATAGGTCATTGCTTCTATGTACAGTTTCCAATTGCACTTTTCCTTCCAAGCAGCTGGTGTCGATGAAGACTGGCAGGCCGCCGGTGTCACTTTCAAGGCGGCTGTAGCGATTAGGGTCCCACTGCTCAATGAATACAGATCACCTCATGAACTCTCACACATGCTCGCTGACAAGCATAAATGTGAACTTGCTGCAACTGAGCGACGCCATCATAGATTAGCAGGGTAAGAAAAAAGTGAAATGGCCCTAGAAAACCAGAAAACTAGAAACAGCAAAGAACGAAAAACCTACATGAATCGTGCTTCCTAATATTAATGCGAATAATCTTGAACATAATATTTACTTCGTTTCTTTTTATATTTCCCAGTATACTATGCAGTATACAAAAGTTAGCGTTCTTGGACTACATGCAGAAGTGTAGTAAGAAAGGGCGTGCTTTGGCTTCGTAGCCTTGGCTGTGCTGCCACAGAAAGTTGTCACCAAGTGTAGTCTTGGAAAATACGACAAGGAAGGGTCGCAAGTACCATAATTTCTCGCACATCATCCTAGCAACAAACTGTGGCATTAAAAATACCACCCCATAATGCTGTGAAACTACCTTCCAGGCCGGAATTTGTTTTTTCAACCAGGTGACAGAAGTCAGGAGCAATGCAAAATACAAGCCGAACAAAAAAGTGCCCAAAGCTTGTGGGGGTGCTGACACCCCCCCTGTAGAGTTGTCTGCGCCGTGTGGCGCACGTGTCTCGCCCCATGGGCTTTGTTTCGGTGGTGACTACCGCCTGGCGATAGATGGCGTTGTGTTCGCTTTGAGTACCACTGTTGGTAGAGTGGTAGCGCCGGCGGTGGCCCCTGGCGGAAGGCAGACCTGGGTGGTGGGCGAGCGTTGAGCGAGCCTCTTCTGCGCGAGGCGACTGCCGCGAACGGTTGTCTGTAGCGTGGGTCCCCGGTGCTCGGCAACGCGGGCTTCGCGCCGGGGTCCCGCATGGAAAGTCCAGCGTTGGCGACGCCACCTTGGGTATGTGTTAGTGTGTTGGGTGTGTTAGTGTGTGTTCATCATGTTATTGTGTGTTTAGTGTGTCACTGCGTTATGTTGTTTGTATGGTAGCGCGTTAATTAAAATTGATGTAACATTTGGCGGACGATGTCGTCTAAATTAGTTAATAAATGTATGTATGTTGTGTGCTTTGTACCGACCGCGTCTGCTGCGTCCGTTCACTCCAAGAGCGTGGCGTGGCGATACGCTCGTTTGCCTCGCGGAGGCTGAGGCTAGCTGTTGCCCATTGCATGACGCCTTTGCATGAATGGGCGACGACCGGCTGCCTTTGCAGACCGGTATATAGGGTGAATTAAGGAGAGGGGGATGTGGGGATTTGAGGCGCGCTCACGACCATTTCGCGGGCATTCCGCCATACGGCCACACCCTTTTGCTTTTCTGCTCTGCTAACACCACGTGGCGATAGATGGCGCCACGTGCGGGCACGGCACGCGGTACGCGCGGGTCGTGAGAGCGGCCTCTTCTCCGTGGTCGGCGCCGGGTAAGCACGTGTTTTCTTTCGTCCGCGTCCCCTTTGGGAATCGCCGGACTGTAGCCTGCCTGGGGTGGCCTTGGGCACCTCGGCAGGTGTGTTTACTTGAGTGCTAGCTTCGGTAGCGTACGCTAAGCCCACAGCGGTGCCTAGTGCTTGAAGTGGTCGTACCACAACGAGCCGCACTTGCCGTAGGCCTACGCGTACGAGGTTTGCCCTAACACTCACGACCAGGCCCATTGGCCATCGTGAGAGTGCGCAGCATAGCCGCGAGGGACCTTTTCACGACCGGCGTGTCAAATCTCGCCATTGCCAGCTGCGACGTGCTCGCGGTTTTCCCCTTATTGTGAACGTCTGCGTGCGGGTGCCTTTCCTACCCGCTTCCCGGGAGCGGACGTTGTACTGTTGTTCGGGGTGCCGCCAGAGGCAATAAAGTGTGTATTTTTGCATTAGAACACTGTCTATTTGCCGCGCTGCGCTAAACGCCTTATTAGTTGAGCGCGCACGGAGCGGTGCGCAACACGCGAGTAAACGGAGTAGCGGCCCTGTGGCTCGCTAAGCGTGAACCTGTGGTGATCGTCCGCTGCAGTTAGTAGCGGGGTCACCATAAGCTGAAATTGTTCCACTTGAAGCTCGGTCAATGAGTGCATAAAGAATCCAAACTCACCAACAGCTGTGATGTTCCCAGGTTGTCGAGCGTAAGCGATTGTATTCTGGAAACATGAACGCCGAGCTCTCGGTGCACGCCCGAACACTCAATGCAGGTCAAAATTCCAAAGTTCGTTGATAGCCAAGTTGGATCTGTTTGCGGAATAAGACACAACAAAGCACAGATGCATTCTTCTGTGATATCTTCCACTGTACTAGCATATGAGGACATAGCAATTGAGAATAGCTAGGAAAAGGCTAATTTATATCCACACCCTCATCCACTCATTAGCTGCAAAAAAATCTTACACCAAAATCATGGCTTCCTCTAAAATTAACATCTAGTCACATAGCGATTAAAAAAGTTAGTACTTTGAAAATGTTATCAGTAGTTGCGTAGAAACTTAATGTATGAAAAGAATTGAGTCATCAACATCATATTCACGCTCAACCTCTTCCAAAGCCCACATTTTGTGCCAGCAATCTCATACTGATGCCCTTGCTACAGTACCTGGGCACTACCACAACACAACAGTGTTTGTTCAAACACTGTTTAAAAAGTAAAATGAGAATGTGGTATCCAAGCAAGGCCACCTCGAAAACAATAGTGTGTACTAAAATGAACAACAAGAAGCATTGTTCGCAATATACTATGCCATCGAGTGGACAAAAGTAACCCTCGTGGAAAGGTTAGAAAAGCATGCAGAAAGCTCCACTAATACTTGAAATTTTGACTGAAAAATCTTGTCTTCAATCAATAGACTCTAATGATAATGAAATTCAAGACTTTAGATCCCAAAACCAAGATATTATAATGACATCCGGGCTTTTACGTCTCAGAACTGTTGCATGATTATGAGAGACGCCATAGCGGAGGGCTCCAGAAATTTTGACCATCTGGTGTTGCATCAGAAGGGACCATTGGACAAGTTGGTGCACTTCCATCTTAAACTAATAATGACGCCTTTATTCATTTTAGATGCATCTGGTGTTCTTTAACGTGCACTGACATCGCACCTCTGCCGAAATGTGACCGCCGTGGCCGAACCGGTGACCTTTGGGCGAGCAGCCAAGCACCATGGCCAATGCTCCACCGCAGCGGAATACACTTCACTGATGATGTCAGATACTTTGCTGCGCAAAATATTTTCTGCAAGAATGGCACCAGACCTTTGGTTGAGTTGCAGTCGCAGCAGCGGTCATTGCCAGGCAACTGCTGCACCTGCCTTATGATGGACTGCTGAAACTCCAGGAGAGATTGATTCCCTGTGCCGCCACCAGCCTGTCCTGGTTCGGTGAATGCTTTACGAAGCGCTCCTTCTTTGCAGTTGACCAGCACTGCTTTCCACCTGCGGGCACATTGTGGAGGTTAGGCAGCAGCACCTTGTGCACAGTACTAAACAAGCCACTGCCCCCTTCCTCCTGCTTTTATAAAAGAAACGGGCATGGCAAGACAAACACGCTTTATCACCCAAAGCGGACAAAACTAATACACAGATGTTGCATCAAAGCACTCAACCACTCAATAACACTTAATAACACTTTGTGTACATGGTCAAACCCAAACTGACTGTAACTCAGTCTACATAACTTACTAGCCCTAGCCATTAGTCCTAAGCCAATATGGCATCAACAATGGAATGTTCTTACAGTTTTTCGAGTTGCTAATCGTTGCCCTTTGCTGTGTCGACGTTTAGTCGAGTCCTCTGTCGTTGATGGGCTACTCCACTTTTCCCGGTCACCATCAGTTGATCCCGCTGAACGAACCGCTCGTCCTCTTCGTCAATTTTCCTGTCCTCGCCTCCATCTTTGGCCTTGCTAGGCTTAGGTCGTCATGGGCTCCCCTACTGACATGTCCGCTCTGCTGACTGGGGTGGGCTGCTACCATTCTGGCTCAAAGTGGTATAGCTGCAAGTCTACCAGGAGCTGCTGGCCAAGGATGCGGCAAGTCCAGGCAGCCTCACTCGGGACCTCCAAGGTCAACAGCCATTTCCTGGGCCTCTCATGCAGACATCCTTCTGAGCCTATGGGTGGCTACGCTGCTCCTATCACTGTAGCGACACTGATTTTCCACGTCTTCGCAGCTCGGAGCTCTAATACACAGTGCCAGCTCATTCTCTGGGATTTTTTATTACAGCTCGGGTGGCGTGCTATGAGCCTTTTCCCGACCAATCTCCTGCGCTGACATGGCTGGTGCATGTGCCCTCGTGTGACTTTTTTCTCCTCGTGCACTGTAGCCACGCTTCTTTGTTCAGCACGCACCTCGTGCCTTCCCGTTATTTATCACAGTTACTGAGAAAAAAGGTGGTGCTATGCTAGCGCGAGGTAGGGTTGGCGCAGTGGCACCAGCAGTACCAACTGGTGGAAGAGATCAGGCCGGTGCACAGGAAGCAAAAACAAGTCTTTCCAAGGTTTGGCCCCATGTGTGGACGGATGTCGCTTGCAGTGGGTTCACGGGGATGATACCGCAGGTACTTTCTCATGTACCCCTTGTGGCGAGTCCAACATCAGCTGCTTGTATGTTTGTGTTGACATATTGACTTGTGATGTATTGATGTGAGTCACTTGTGATGTATTAGCTTTAGCTAGCAAGCTCGCTGTGATGACGAAGCAAGTCAATGAATGCATGCATGTTGGTGGCCCAATGAGATGACTGCCTTCGTGTGTTCCAAGAGCAGCGATCTATGTATTAGACCACAAATCCCTATACAGCACCAAGTCTACTTACGCCTCCATTTCCAAGTCATCGTCAGCTTGAAAGTGGTACGTCCGGTTATCTGCACAGAGAAAAAATGTGCAGTGCTGGTTAGGCAATGTTTTGATATATTACAGCTGACAATCACTCACAGGATATTAAATCGAAGGAACGCTTCTCTTCTTGTAGGCTCTGCGGAAGATGGTGAGTTGCATAATAAAAGGTACTTGGGTACACTAGACTTCGAGAACCTACCTTCACTTGGCACGTAAGAAGGTTGAGCTTTGTAGGAGGTTTTGTTTCCTGGGAAAAAAAAAAGTAGAATTTCAATGATATGCATTCTTTGACTGACTTCTTTTCTTTTTTAAGCCAAACTTCTTATGACTCGCCTTCAAATATTTAACAAGATAAATATGTCATTTGCTGTCTTGTGAGTATAATGTCTTCAGCAGTGGCATGCACAGTTGTGTGAGCTAAGTTTAGTGGTTTCAGGTGCATTGCAAATTTTTTATATTTTTCAGCCCATTCATTTTCGAATGCTTTGCTCATGAACAATTAGTGCCATCTTTAAGCAGAAACAGCATGTAAAATGCATGGCCACTTCAGGTAGCAGTGATACTGCAGCCCTTATGCAATCTCTTCAGGCGGCAGATGGGCTGGCAAGGCAAAGACCTGGTCTGCAATGAACGCTCATCAGGGTACCTGTCAGGAACGCAAGAAAGGTCCGTGTGCGCTTCAGGGAACTCGCATCGGTGTCTGCACGCGTCTGCACACCTAGTTGCGTCTGCACGCCTAGTTTCGCAACATGCGAAATTATGCGTCTGCACGCCTAGTTTTGCAACATTTGTAAATGTGCAAATAAACTGTGTGTTCTTCCTGTATGAGAAGCCTCGCAAGTGTTCTTCCTTCTCTGACACCTGGATGTCTGCCTGTAACCCCTTCCTTGGTCACGTAAACAGTGTGAGCAAAGTTGTATTATATTCAATGCTGTAATACTGCGTTGTAATCAGAACAAAGATACACTTATGCGTGAACAAAAATGTATCATGTGTGAGAGTGAAGATGTACTTCATTAGTCGATGTACCTCCTTGCTATAATGCCTTCGGGTGCTGTGGGGTAACTAATGAATAAAGAATAAAAAAACATACCCGCCAGGACAGATTGACACATACGCAATATAAGGAACGAGACAAGAATAGCCAAGTCTGGCCTCATTTATCTGCAGAAAATTAGCTAGGTCAAACACTAGCTTCACTGTTGGCTTCAGCGTAGTGCAAGCTGCACCCTTTTTTTATGCTAAACTATTGCCAATTAAATGTTTAACCTTTTGAGAGATAATGCAACGGATTTCCTCCATGGCTTCACACTGCAAACGCTTATCAACGCACATAGGGTTAAAAAGGTTGTTGGAAGACCGCCTTGAGGGTCTAAGCTCAGTGATAGGCACAGATGCCTTCATTACTGATGGGAAAGCAGGAGTGAGCATTTTTTATTACATTATTTAGATCAACGGTTTGTTTTCTTGCAAGTAAAGCCTATCTTAAGAAGTATTTCATGTTCCGTTTAAATCAGTACAACGAGAATGAGCTCAATGTCAAGAAAAGTTTCTGGTCACTTATTTAGCTTGTTGGACTGATAGGCATCTCATGATCTAGAACAGCTGAGGCAGTAATTACTTTTATTAGCATACACCCCAAGGTGTGTATTACAAGCTGCTGAGATTACAATTTGCATTTTCTGCTCAGGTAATTAAAATTTCATTTGGTTCGTTTTTTCCTGTATGGTAGTCACCGTCAAAAAACTGAATCAGAATTACTGCAGAATAATCAGTTATGATGTGATCGAAATACTGTTAGCGGTGTTGCACTTATAGCATATTACGGTATCTAGCTATGGGGTAATACGCACTTTCTGCTTAACAATTTTTTTATTTGCCTATTGCCTCCAGAAACAGCAGGGTGACATTGCAGCTTTTCGTATCTTGTAAACTAGTTCACCTACAAGAAAAACAATTGCATGTTTCAAATCAGCATGGAACACTATACAAGCCTATTTATTTTCATCAGGTTCAGGCCTAAAATATGGCAAATATCTGCACCAGCCATGCCCCTGTCAGCATAACACTGTATTTCCATTCACCTTTAATTTATGTACTCAGACATTTGCCCTTTGACCAAAAAGCCAGATGAAAAAATTGTATAAAAACGATGTTAGCAGAAATAAATTGCCCTGTGCATCGACATTACCCCATTCAGGAGTGCAACAGCCGAAATAGAATGTGGAGCAATTTTCAGAGCAGCAGTACCTTTCGTTTGGAGTACTAAAACAAAAATTTGGAGCAGGGTACGGGAAAGAAAACATCTATTTTTTATCATGAAAGACCAAATTTGGAGCAAAAAAGGATTACATTTAGAAGAACAAAGTATGTTCAAGCCATTCAACTTCACCTAATTTATGCAGAGTAAACATGAGCACTGCTGTTTCAATAAAACTAGTATTTCGATCTACCCCACTGAGCAAACAATGATAAAGTCCACAATAGCACTTGCCAAGTCTGTCAAATCCTTTGACAGAATCCATGAATTAAAACGGAGGTCTACCAAGGGACCTTGAAGTTCAAGGGATTCATGAAACTGAGGAGTAGGGGTGATGAAAAAAAAAAAAACTTGCACTTTTTTTTAAGGGCAGCAGAAGTGTCGTACACTGCTCCAAATGATAGACAGTGGCTTTTTTAGACATCAGAGATAATACTAGTGCTCACAATTATGTGGTAGTCATCATCATCATCAACTTGACTACGTCCACTGCAGGACAAAGGCCTCTCCCATGTTCCGCCAGTCAACTCGGTCTTGTGCTTGCTGCGGCCAATTTATACTCGCAAACTTCTTAATCTCATCTGTCCACCTAACCTTCTGCCTCCCTCTAACCCGCTTGCCTTCCTTCTCTGGGAATCGTGTTAGTTACCCTTAATGACCAGCGATTATCCTGTCTACGCGCTACATGCCTGGCCCATGTCCGTTTTCTCTTCTTGATTTCAACTATGATATCCTTAACCCCCGTTTGTTCCCTAATCCACTCTGCTCTCTTCTTGTCTCTTAAGGTTACACCTACCATTTTTCTTTCCATTGCTCGCTGCCTCGTCCTCAATTTAAGCTGAACCGTTTTTGTAAGTCTCCAGGTTTCTGCTCTATAGCTAAGTACCGGCAAGATGCAGCTGTTATATACCTTCATCTTGAGGGATAGTGGCAATGTACCTGTCACTATCCCGCAAGAGGAAGGTATATAACAGCTGCATCTTGCTGGTACTTGCCGGTATGTGGTAGTATACATGCATAAATAAGTCCAGTGAGTGATGCTTTTCTGCAAGGCACCAATGTATTGCGGCAAAGGTGGTTTAAACAGAGTTCTGCACGGGTTAGAACAAGGCCAACAAATTTTTTTTGAAACAATGCTACGCTTTCCCTTCCCCTTTTTTTGTATGATGGGGGTTAGGTTTAGGGCACAATATCTCGGCTCCCTTGCAAGGCGCGCTCTACTAGATAAAGTAACAGCGGCGCACGCCCGTTGGTCAAGTGACAGCACCGGATATATAATATCGCTAATATGACGTAATGCAACTTCAAGACTGAAAATTATTTTACGTGCTGTTGCTATGGCGACCAACGTGGTCGCTGGAAACGCCAGCGTTCGCAGCACAACAACTCTGTTTGGGCACGGAAAACGCGGTATGCGCTTTCAGCGCAAAAATTGGGAATTGTATCAAATTGGTACAATTGGCAAATTTGTTGCCCCTGCCTCATTTTGTGAAAAATGGCAAGCACAACAAGAGAGAGAGTTACTTACGTCGGAGTGTGATATGTACAAATATCCGTCCCTCACTTCACATTTCCTTTTCTGCCACACACGGCGCATTTTCCCATCAGACTTCTTAAGCAAGTAGCCAACCTTTGTGTAGCCATAATGTTGGTTTCCCTGTGGCTGGTGTAAACTGTAGCCAACTGAACTAACCTGTTTGGGAAAACAAAAATACAGGTTGTCACATGAGTATCCTTCCCATCTCCGTTTTTTGCTTCAAGCTTTACTGCCTGTCCTTGCAACTGCATGCACGCCTTAACCAAATGAGGAGATTTATTTGCAAAGCTTGGAGCACAGTTTGTGGGGCCTGGAAACCATTTGATGATGAAAACATGGTGTCAAGTATGAAGCCAGTATGAGGCCATATATATATATATATATATATATATATATATATATATATATATATATATATATATATATATATATATACACACACACACACTGAAAAAAGTTGATGCTGCTTTCAGGTAAATATCCACAGTGAAGTAGACGCGTGCACGAAACGACGAAACGATTTATTTGACATTTCAACCGAGCATCCAGCCTTCATCGGAATGTGTGTGTGTGCGTGTGTACTAGATGCTATGATGAATGTGACACGTGCGTGGGCTCAGTCAGCTTACCTTTATTCTTTGGCATGGGTGTGCAAGCTTCGGTATGAGTTGCACTTGACTACACCGTAGGCCTAGCTTCCACTACGACACTAACCTCGCACTAAACGCACCCACAAGAACTTTTAAGTGTAAATGCCAGGGTGCTGTGTGCCGCAATGCAAAAACATCTGGAGACTTTCCCACTTCCCGATTTGCGCTAGCCAACGGAAACGCTGGATTACACAAGTGAAGTGAGACTGCTTGGAGCCGACTACTTCTCCCCGTGTTTGTGAGGTGAGTACCCGTTGTATTGCGAGTGGGTTGAGTATATCGCCGCACATTTCGTGAAATGGCCGACTTAGCCACGCGATGAAAAGCAGTTTGAGCGAACTAAACACGACAACGAGCACAGTATAAAAATGAATCGGGCTTCGTTCGACTACGCCGGGCTATGCGAGCAAAAGCTGGTTGAGTATGCTCATTTATCCTCCTAGCCGAAGCGCAGTTCACTAATTGAATGATATGACTAGTTGAATGTGCGGTTCTTCATGCATTCGCTATCTGTGCTTTATCAGTTTTCCGCAGCATTCGTCACAGAAAACACCAGGCTTGTAAACCCCCTACAGACACTCGCATTCGCGTCTTCCTTTGCTGGCAGATGTTCGCGTTCCTGCAATTTCACCTCGGTCGCTGAGGAAAGCCATTTGGAGAGGCAGACAGACAAGCCGATGATTCCATTCCCTGTAGACTTTTGTAGTCTTGCACAGTCGCAGCACAACTAAATTTTGTGCGGAATTGCCATGGGGTATTCGTTTTTCCCTTCAATGACACGTGCAACCGCACCAAAACTCGCTCAATAATTGAAAAAATATTTCTATTTAATAACATAGAATGGGACAGATTTACTGTTCGTGTCCATCCATCCTTCTGTCTGTCTGTCAGTCCTGAACGGTGCAGTATATATGCACTAAGCAAGTCAGTTGTTGGCCCATAACTCAAATATGCCCTATGTGCTGCATCGTTACTTTTGTGGTCCTTTTGTTTCATAACCAGCCACACAGATGATTTGATATCGTAAGCTCACTTTTTATTTAGTGGTTGCAGAGAAAATGTGTATGGACTCCGTATATGTGGTCAGCGCCATGTATGACTTTTCACCTTGCTGGTTTATTGTAGGCTTACTGCGAGGACGCAAGCTTCCAGTAAAGAACGCAGGACGATTTGAAGAAATACGGACAGATGCCGTTTGGATGCTGTTTGTAATAAAATCTGACCGGGAAAAACTTGGTTTGTCTTTTGTTTGTCTTTTGTTGCTCCCCTTTGCTTTTCTTCTATCCTAATATGCAGGCTTGTGGGGGGAGGAGGGGGGGGTTGGTGTAGTATGATAGAGGGCTCCACTATTTGCGGGCAATGCTTACAGTTTGTAAGGTTTTTAAGCTGTCCATTGTACAGATTCGTTCACAGGAACTAAATTTGCTGCAGTCACGAACATGTCTTTACTGTTCTACAAAACCGCGGCTAACTTCAGAAACCAACCCTTTAGCCTTCACAACTTGCTATACACACATATATATATATATATATATATATATATATATATATATATATAAAACTACCACCTCCTTGTTGAAACCCACGCTGCCTTCATTGTAAATGAGAAACCGCTCAGAACCAACATGACGACCCGTCAAGTATGGCGGCCGTTTTAGCCAGTTGTAAGCAACCATGACCGAAGTTGTCAACACCCTAAAACACGGAGACGCGCGCACATGAAGGCTCCCTAGTCCGGGGATATCAAGTAGAGCTCTGGTTGGGGAAGCTGGAGAGCGTAAGAATGCTTTGAACGTGGAAACAGATGAAAACAGCTGGCATTCTTCTGAGGAATGAACGAGGGTCGAACGTCTTGCAGAATCAGCAGTCCGGATTTCGTAGGCGGCATATTCTTCGTCTTGATGATACACATTCCATGCATGCGATTTGTGAACCTATTGACCGAGGCTGATTGGGTGCTGCCGGTGTTTCCGCAGAGTACAAAAAGGTGGTTTTTTCGCTTTTCAAAAGTTTTCTATAATGATGTCGCAAATGTTTTGATCAAAGACGCAATCTTGATCTTTGGTGTAGAATGTGTTTACGACGATGTGTCTTTCTGTAATGTTCTTTAAGTCGTGAGAGTGATTACGATGAACTCTTTCGTCGTTGTCCATGTTGCAGTACGTCGTTTTTTGGTTTCATCAACTTGCTTTTGCTGGTCTTGCTGTGGAAAGCGCGTTTTACGCATTCTTTTCTGAGCTGGAGCTTTGTTTGCTTCGAAAGTTCATGTAGCTGGTTCAAAACGGGCTTGGCAGGTTAATCATGGTGTCCCAGGTTTGTTAGCAAGTCCTTCGCAGGCTTCTACAACGCCAACCAATGCAGGTGTTTCTGTCGCAAGGCAATGTGCGAGGTTTTGTGCATCTGAATTTTTTGTATTTACAAACTGTTCATCGTAGACGGTTCCGTGAAAAGAAGTTGTGTCGTCAGAAGCCGCACCAGCGCTTTTATTTTCATTGTTGGCAGTGATGCTGTGTGCTGAAATCACATCGCTTCGACTTTGTAGCTGTTGAACGCTATATGCTTCCGCAGATAACGTTGCTTCACGATATTTTGATTGCGAATGTATCTTTCCTTGTGGAAGTGTTAAGCTGAACACCTTCAACGAATGCGATTTCTTTGAACAGTCGTGGTCTACTTTGGTTTCGTGCGCATTTGCCAGCTCATCATGCACAAATGCAATCATATTAAGAGGTTTACTGAGAGTTTCATCAGCAATAGAAATGTCAGCTGATGCTAAGCCATGTGGGCCATGTGCACAACACGATATATATATTGTAAGGAAGCGAGCGCGGCGCCCAGGCACTGGCGCGAGCTCAGCTAGTGTGAAGAAAGGACGAAGTAGAATAAGAACAGCCGGCCCAAGATCGGGTGTTGTCTCTTGTTTCTCTCTTACAATGGTGCAGTCGACGAAAAAAAAGTCTCGTCTCGTGGCTTTGTCATCCAGGACAACCGCCAACGTGCAGCCGCGGTAAGCGCCGCTTGAGGACGACGTCAAGGCCTCCTTGGCGGCTTCAGTACATGTTACCGGTACCATTTCTAAGACAAGAAATGCTGCCCACGCGTCCTTGACCATGGATTCTGCTGTAAGCACAGGTCGACAAGTGAACCCTGCAGCTCAAGCCACCTGTCCTTAACCTCGTGGATTATCGGCAGCGTGGTTCTCTTATCGTAAGAATGCGGTTTACGCTTCCTCGAACATGGAGTTCACGACCCAACCACTGCTGCACTTACCCACCGAATCAACCGCGGATGGCGTCCATGTTTCCTCGGTGGTTCCAGGGTACCACTTGACATACGGCAGGCTACAACCTTCATCTCAGAATGCGCATGGGTTGCTCTCTTCTGAGAATGTCGCGCTCGCTTTCCAAGGCCTGCATCCCGTGCCCGGTCCTCTTACAACGAATGAACATCCAAGAGACGCTGCTCAGGCTTCTTTAGATGTGCATGTCACCACCGTGAATTCTGCTAGAATCACGTACTCTGCAAACGCGAACCAAAGCAGTTGAGAAGCCTCATGCAACAGTGCCATGGAGCTGCAGCGTACCATCGCACGACTCCACGCCACGGTCAACGCTGTTAGAGCGACGATCTCCGCCCTGTTCCCTGCCATCTTACCAATTCTGAAAGCAAGCAAGCACATGTTCGATGCAGTCGCCGCACAAGACCTTCTTATTTGAGCAATGCAGAGAGCTGTGGTGCGCCCTCCTGCAGCTCTCAAACCAGATCGGCTGCTTCGATTCAGTAATCTCTGCATTTTCACGTGCTGACCCATCATCACTGGCCGTCAGCGAACCACCGGAACGCGACGGGTTCTCGGACGACGCCATCGATTGGGTGGCTACCACTAACGCTCTCAGAGCTCACAATGGGTGGAGCAAAAATCATAAGTGGTGCGTAGCCATAGACCGCCTTCAAAATTCTGCCGCGGTGTAGCACAGGTACGAAGGCATGCAGCAGAAACCGTGGGTGGAATGGAGCTGCAAGCTGATTGCTGCTTTTGGCCGGACTGCCTCCAAACTCTCTGCCAGCACCGAGACCAACCTGACCCCTACCGAGGATGGAGTTCAAGAAGGGTTCCATCTCGAGGCTCCAGCTCTCTACATCAGCTTCCAGAGTCGTCGCTGGTACCAGACCCAAATTCATCTCGGCCATCAGCCACCCCGTCTTCTCTCGTGGGGCGAGATACAGAGGGGCACAAGGTAGCTGGGCCCTTTGCCTATGTGCCTACTACCATGCATCGAGCTCAAGTACGGCGCTAGCTCTATGCATTATCGCAGTCATTCAGCCAAACAACAGGCAACAAGACCACCCTTGAGCATCAGCAAATGGCACTGCGGCTTTCAAACGCGACACCTCCTGGGTACGTGGTGTCGTCGGCCCCTGTCCTGCCGGATGGGTCACGACATGACACACCCTACCGGTCTACGATATCAATAGTTCCTAGTGTAGAGAGGAAGAAGATTATGT